ATAATGAGTAATGATAAACACTGAAATCAGTAATAAGTGAAGACAAAGCAGGGCACGGGGACAGGGAATGACTGTAGAGTTCAAGCTGAGACAGCAAGGTCAATGGAGAGCTCTCCCTTGAGAAGCCACGTGAAGATCTGAGGCCAAGGGCGTTTCTGGCTGAGACAAAAACCGAAGAAAGGCCCTGAGGAGCGCGATGAGTGTTAAGGGGAAAGCCGAGGCCAGTGGCACTGGTGGGAAATATGGGAAGAGAAGGACTGCAGGAGATAAGGCTGAAGGCACAGCCAGGTTCCTGATCACACAGCCTTACAGACTGGAGTAGGAACATGGGATTTTATTCTGCGCCTGAAGGGAAACACATGGGAGGTTTAAAAGCACAGGAGTGACATAATCAGACCTGCATCTGAAATGGTTCACTCTGGCAATGACCTCTCATTAATTATTTGATGCCAAGGTTTCCTGAATTTATTCATTCTAACAGTAAGAGAGGGACATTTAAGCATGTGGAGAAGAGAAACAATAGAGCAGGATGGCAAGCTGTGGCGCTTCTGGCTGCTTGGAAGAGTCTGGAGCCCCACAATAGAGTTGCTACATTCAAAACAGCAAACCACTCACCACAGAAGAGCATTCCATTTGTGTTTGTTGGATATAACATGTGAAGTGTTGTGACGAAATGTTTAAGATTTGACAGTAGTTTGGGAGCACTGGGGGCGGGGGAGCACAAAGGATGCTGGGGACACCAACAAAGTCAGATTCCAGAGGACTGGTCCCTGGAAAGGACGCCGGTGGGCACAGGGGCTACATCACCACTGTAGCCGGTTCCTGTGCAGACCTGTCTGAAGAGCGTGCTCAGAGGCCCAGGAAACCCGGGGAGGGGAGGAGTGCCGTCCCCTCTCAGCTGGGAGACGTCCTTGGTGGCAGTACAGGCCTGAAGAGCGGAAGGGCAAACTCTGAGCTTGCCTAGTTTTAACTGCAGAGCTAAGGAGAACGATAAAGGGGAAAAAAATAATAAAAGGAAGGGGCAAAAAGGGTGTGTGCCTAGGGTTGGGACAGGTGAATGGGAAGAAAAAGCATTTAATGAGTCAAATTTAATCCTATTTATGGAATTCTAGGTATCTTTTCAGAAAAGCGAAATCATTTTTAGAATAGCAGTATTTTTTAAGAGTCAGTCTTGGTCTTGGCAAGGAAATGGTTATAACTGAAGATACGGAGTTGCACAGAAGAATTCAGAAAGAAACCAAGTCTCTGGAAAAAGTGAGGCTTTTTTTGATCCACTGTAAAGGAACATAAATTAGTCTCCAACCCACAATCTCCGCCCACCCCCCCAACTTCCCAGAGTCCTGTGCAGCCCATAGAAAGTGGAAAGGGTGCCAAAACAAACAGTGTGGGCTGAAGCTCTGTGGATGAAGGGTGGGATGAGGTTCGGGTGGAACTGGCAGGCAACCGAATGGAATCACTTTAAAGCAGTGCCACAAAATGGAGACTAAATAATCACTTAGGATTTTCAAAATTTGCAGAAAATGGGTTATGCTTAGCAAAACCAAAGAATAGATTCCTTACTCCAACTCATTTCAAAAAAATAAGAAAAACAAAAAACACCAAACCCAGAAAGGATAGGAAAAACAGACAAAGCAAAACATACCTGCTTTCTTATCTATCTTTAATTAAAGCATAAAATACCCTCCCTCTCACCTTCTCCCCAAAACCCTAGAACAGAACAGCCAACTGGCAGCAGCTCAGGTGAAAGGCTTCAGCCTTCCAGCTACAAAGAGGGGAGATAGCAGACAATGGAACTGGTGATTCATTACAAAAGAATACACTCAAGAGGGGCCTGCTGCCACATGGGCTCACTGCACTATTTAAAGGAACAGTAACTCTCTTTCCAACCTCCCTTATTCTTAACACCTTCCCTCCTCTTGGTCCTGATGGAAAACAGATTTTGAAGAAAATGCCAGCAAAGCACTGAGCTGTCCAAGAAAGGGAGGGCTTTGTGTTCCACAGAAACTGGCAGTCTCACACTATAGTAGAGCACAAAATTTTTCTTTCACATCCATACTATAAAATCTTTTCCTCTCTGCCTGGTATATTTTCCCTTTCAACAACAAATAGTATAACTGAGTGTGAATCTGGCTAAACATTTTTTTTTAATTAATAGGAGTTGGGAGTCATTTGCAATTTTGTTTTTCTAATTTCACACATATTATGGGAATGATTTTTCCTCTTTTCCTTCCTTTTATTCTGCATTGTTATTTTCACAGAGGTGAGAAGATACAATAATTTGGTTCAAATGTTCAGAAATGAGTTATCTCAGTGAAATACTCCAACAACATATACGTGAACAAGAGGAAAACTTAAAGTTATAAAAAAAGTAAGATCATACAAGCGTCATGTCTGCCATATTAAAATTTTGTGATTAAATTCCTATTTGCTTTTTTTAAGGCAAAGCATTGATTACTTATTGTAAATCACAAAGCAGTTTGCTAGTTAAACCAAAAAGAGGCCTTATAGAACTATGGCATACAGAATAGTAAAGCACACACACTGTTCAACCTCTGATACAGATCTAATCCTGGATGATAAAATGTCATCCACTGAGAGCCCTTTTCCCTTCTTCCACCAAGTGAGCGATGGGAACTAAGGGCTACAGAAATGTTAAGATCTGAGAGGCAAGAACTTAGGTGACAAATGGTGAAAGCCCATCTAAATACCTTTCTTAATATACGAATCGACACTAATATACTAATAAACTATCTAATTTTGAAAACCAAATCTTAGACAGTATGGACATTTTATATTCAGACACTTATGTGACATATCATTATTATATCTTCAAGTTAGATGTGTGGCTTAACAAACAAACAAAAACCCCCCAAAGGACAAGTACACATTTGGCCCATTTGGTTATTTCCTTTGGTTTTTTCCCTAGATTGCCAACAACTATGTACATTACATTAACACAGAAAGTGTACACCAGAACAGGTATTATGGAATAGTGAAAACTGACAAATTTGATATTCTACACTTTCCAGCTGTATAAATTTAGGATGGGCAAAAACAAGCTACTTGTTTTCTCCAGCATTCAGCCTATGCTGAGAAAAATAATGAATTTTAATTTATCTATTAAACTTCACTACCGTGAAATCCCTCTTTCCTGTTTCTATTTATCTCTTCTGCTTCATTCCTAAAATTATATTTTCCTTAAATACCAATTAGTAAGACCCCAAATATGAAGTGTCCATATGCATGTGTGTTCTAACTTGTGCTTACACACGCTTAACCAACTCCTCTAGACACTAAGGATACACGTTCCAAGAGGTATAAAAAGTCAGTCTAAATAACCCTTTCACTGATTTAAAAATATATATAATGACAAGTCAAGTAGTTGAAAAGCATTCAGTAATAGCTGAGAAAGAGGAGAGCTGATACCCTCCAATATTGCCAGGTAATGAAAATTGAATGAGGGCTCCAAGGTTAAAAAGTATCACCTTCCAAGCAACAAAGAGAATACAGAAACAGGTATTCTCTCTTATGGAAATTTTTACAAAGTAAAAGTAAAGCAAAAGTAGTATTTCAAAGGAATTAACTGGGCTGATGATGAAGGGATAAGAGGTGGAAGAGAAAATATTTCAAGGGTTTCTCTACTTTCCAAGAGGGAAAGGTTTCTTGATAATCTTCAAACTCACATCTGGTGAAGAATTACTTTGGAAAGAGATATTCTTTGCAAGTTCCCTTTCCTCTAGGTCACGCTGGGAAAATCTCCCTAATGCCTTCCCTCCTTCCAACAGCACTGCGGGACATTATATAACATTTAACGGAACAGGGTTCCAGCTCCTAAACCGATGCCTCTATCTGGATGGCTAGCCAACTCTCTCGCCCTCCGGTGGTGACTTGGGAGAGGCAGAGGGGAAAGAATACAAAAAAAAAGGGCAACCTCCTTAAAAGGAAAGCTCTGTCCAGTGATGAAATTTCCCTACAGAGCATAAAAGCCTGGAATGAAAATGATCCTAAGTCTGAGACTAAAGGACATGAAAGTTCTGCAACGCAAATGATTTCTCATTGATAAATCACGGCTTCACCATTCCCTGTCACGCTGTGTGTAATGGAAAGGGGCTAAAGGAACACAGAGAAGGTTGCCAACAAGAAATAAGCGCTGCCAGGGGAAACCACGGAAGAGTATTCATTCACCTTTCCATTTGTCAGGAATGACTTGCTAAAATGCAGATTAGATACTGCCTGGCATAACCAAAGACAGCCAGAGCGACAGAGGCAGGGAGGGAGAGAGATCTCCCGTTTCCCTCTCCTTCAAATGCCTTTTAATGCCCCTGTGACTGTCATTTATACAGTCAGCTCTGTCCCCCCTGTCAGGGAGGGCTCTACCTGACTCTGCTGCACCTGCATGCTCCTATGGTTCCTACTGAGAACATGCTTTGCCAGTAGCAAAGCCAGGAAAATAAAACATTTTCCTAGTCTTCATTTTTAATAAGCCAGTTAGAGCGAAGGTAGCAAAACTGAAATTCCATAGCCAATTCTAAGAAACTGAAGTGAATCGGGAATTGGATCTCCCAGTAACACAAATTCTTCTGCAATTCTTAAAAAGGAAGTCAATCCCTCTCCCCTCTTTTGGCAATCTACAAGAAATCTCTTCCTACCTCTGCAGTCTCTCTCTCCCTCCCTCTTCTCAGAACCAAGACAAAGAGGTAGACAAATCCCCACAGGGTCTTTCCTGAGCTACAGCTGCACAGTACAGGAAACAGGAATCTGCTACGAAGCTGGGGCGGTGGGGGGGGGGGGGGGGGGGGGGCGGGCGGGGAAAAGGATCCGATACCTCTCTCTCTTTCTCTCTCTCTCAACACACAGACTTTTAAGCTCATAACAACAAATCTGGTCTTTTCTAAGAAGACAATAATAATTAAAACTCTGATGGCTATACCCCACCCCCATATCTTTATTTAGATCCCAGAAATGAGAAAAGAAAGACACCGAGAAAACACAAATCTTACCTGAGTTACCATTTTCTTTTTCTCCATAAACCAACCGGAATAATAGATGATGAATGCCTCAGAGCAGTCGTGCTGGGGCACACCTTCCACTGCTTTCTTTTCCACCCCCCTCCCCCCCAGTCTAGCTTATTAAGGGTAGGTAATTGATCTCCCTTTATCCTCTCTTCCTTCCTTTTTCTTTCTAGTGTTTCTTCCTTTCTTTTCTCTTCCTCTCTGGTAGTCTCTCCCCCTCCTTCTTTCTCCAGCTCCCTCCCATATCTCAGGCAGATGGCTGAAGGAAGCCCCACCCCTGAATGCCTAAGGCAATTAATCAGAGGAGAGAGCCCCACCTCTTCCTCCTCCCCCCACCCCCTCCCAGCAGGCTGACATCTCCCAACTCCAGAAACAACCCTGCTGGAGAATGGCAGTTTGGTGTGTGCTGTGCGCACGCGTGCGAGTGCGTGTGTGTGCATGCGTGTGCGTGTGTGTGTGTGTGTGAGAGGGAAGGAGGGGAAGAGAGGGAGGGGCAGGCGCCATGTGCAGGCATATTTTAAGGAGTGAATATCTCCGACGGTGGCATTAACTATATAGCGCTGGAAACATTTGAAGCATACCACAGTTAATGACGATTTAAAATAGTCCGTCCATGAATATAAGATAATAAATAAGAAATGAAACAAAAATCATTTAAAAAAACATTTCCACTGATGTACAGTTTACAGATGTAATGGATTTAATGAAACATGTGAAAAGCTGTTGACATATGACCATTGACTGGAAAGGTTTTCAAGGAATGGGGAATACACAAGACCCTGCTTGTCCCAAACCAGTCCAATGATTGCCAAGGACTAAAAGAGAGGAGGAGGGGGATTAAAGTGCTCTTTTTTTCTACTGTAAAAAACCTGGGGATTTTGAAAAAGGTGTCTACAAACATGGCTGCTTAAGGCTTCCAGCTTCATTAAAAATTGTGGTTAATGAGAATTTACCCTTTGTGTTCCTCAGGCTTCTGTATTTTAGCCTCTATTGAAAAATATAATCCTTTTCTTATATATGAACTGGACATCTGTGTCATTATTGTAAATAGTAATTGTTACTACAGAGTGCTATAGATATACAAGGTTTGGGAGAATGTTTACTGAATGTAAGAGTTTCTTTGAAGTTCTCTTATTAAAAGGAACTAATGGAAAAAAGCATCAAAGATGTGATTCATTCCAGAAGTCCTGGTCTAAGTCCTAACTGGACCCTTTACAAACAAATGATCTTGGAAAAGTTTTAATCTCAATATAAGTTTTATAACCTCCCTACTTTATATTATTAAATATTCAAATAAAACAATCTATGTGAATGTTTAATGAGTTTATGATGCTTATCGTTTCATAAAATAGATTTTCTAATTTTTTTAGTATTCTAATAAGATCTTAAAGGATTTCATTATGTATTTTCGTTATGCTGAATTTATTATGTTATAATCTCTAATAGATTACCCAAAGGGCAAAGAGATTAATTCCAAAATGAAGCTTCCTCTTTTTAAAACAAAGAAATCAAAATTAAAAATTACCAATCACATTAAGAATACATAGTCTTTTGCTGTCTCTGTTAAGAATTGTTTGACAAAATGTATAAACATGCTTTTAAAAAATCTACTGTGTAGTAATGTTGGTTGGTACATTACCAATATAATATCATCATGCTCCCACACTCAAATAAATAATCATTTAAACAATTCTGAAAAATACACAGGACTACCAAGCAATCTGTAGAACCTGGCACAATCACAACTATTTACTGAGTACCTACAAAATGTCAGGGACCATCCTGGGCATTTTATAGATCTTTGTATACTTTTTTTATAATCCATAGTGTGTAAAGAAATATGTACCAAAGAATGGGATCTTTAAACATTAGAAAAAAACATGATGAGAAAAAGAATAGATCAGTACTAGGCTTGTTCCTGTTTAACATTTAGAAATAATCTGGAAGATAGAACATATTGCATTCTCTGAATTTGCAACTGAAAAAAACAATTAGAAGGAGATAAAATGCAGTCAAATTTTTTAAAAGACAAAGTGAGTATGCAGAAAACAGGTGAGTTTAACTGGAAGTAGGGGACACCCAGTATTACTTTTGGAAAAATCTAATAGTATTTGTGGGATATTTACATTTTCAGTTATATTATAAGAAATAAACCTAAGAATCACTGTATACCATTCTCTAAATCCACTGGTCCATTATAGAGCAAGAGACAAAAAACCTGAGTACCAAGAACAGAGGCTCCCTGACTCCCCAGCACACACGATGCCCTTGTGAAAGCCACAGCTATCTTGAAGCAGCCTCTGCACATAAAAAGACAAGGCCCCAAGAAGAGAATTGTTTTTGAAAATAAAAAAGCAAATGAGAGATCCCCACATGCAAAAAGTCTAGGATTAGGACTAGGATAAAGGTTTCCTTAGGCCTGATATATTCACGTCTCTTTTCCATACTTAGGACCAACATTTAATACCACAAATATTAAGCTTATGCAAATCATTGTCAGAAGAGTTAGTATTAGCTAAAGTAAAAACAAATATTAAAATGATTTTTATAAACTCACTGGATAACAGGATCATTGAGAGCACTGGACAAATGCAAGGATATTTTGAAGTGTGCCCTGATTTTGAAGACTGACTCTAGAGAGGACGGTTTGCTCCCTGGTACCCGAGAGAGAAAAGAGCGACTGAATAGCCTGGCTCTGATCCACCAGAGCCACCAGAGCTCCCTGGTAGCTTCATTTGCCCAGTGGTTTTCAGGGGGTTTTCTGGGTGGAGGCACGGTTTTGGGAAGTGCTAGCTAAGCAGGGAGACCACATCCATCTTCATGGGTCAATCCCCAGCTGCCAGCACAGCGCCTGGTAGGTACTCAATAAACACTGGTTACATAAAGGAATTTCTCCTAGTTATCTCAACTTCTTCATTGCTTCCTCAACGTTTCATGCAATCTTAGAACTCCAGCTTCCTTTTCCCCGTACCTTTCAATGGAAATTTTTCTTACTGAAGTCACCAAAGATCTCTAATGGTCAAATTCAATGGATATTTTATATCTTCTTTGACTTATCTGTGACATTTGGTTTTCTCATCTTTAGGAAATCTCATTCTCGGCTTCAAATAATACCAGTTTTTCCTGATTTTCCTCTTTCTGAGTTCACTGGCTTCCCCATCTTACTTTTCTCAGACCTCTATTAACTGCATACCACAGATTCTTAACCTCAGGGGTAGAGCTCCTCGCTCAGGCACCCCAGTGGAAATTTGTTTTCTTGTCTACACTTCTGTGCAAAGAGGATCTATAGGACTCGCCAGAGTCCCTGAAAGGCATAAAGCTCAGAAACGTTCAACACTGCTGAACACGCCTGCTCGAGCTGATGTACCCATCCCACCACTTCAACTACCACCCATTTACCTTGATGGCCCCCGCACATCCATGTCCTGTCCACGCATCTCTTCTGAACTCCACCTGCCAAATGACGGTCAGCTCCATTTAGGTATCCTACGAATTTCTCTAATTTAAAAGTCCAAAACTAAATTCTCAAAATCGAATCATTAATTCATTTAACAAATGCCTGAGTGCCTACTTTCTGCTGGGCACTGTTTTAGGCACTGCGGGAAACCAGTACCAGACAAAGGAGACAAAAATCTTTCTCTGCGTGAAGCTTGGATTCTAGTAGCCATTCTACCATATTTGTTTTCTTGGTAAATGGTTAAATTTCATGACCAGTAAAATAGCTCCCATTTCTTGGGAACTTCTTTACTTCCTGGTGGCTTGCCATCAGGCAACTCCTTCTGTTACTGGCTCACTTCACCACCAAGGCAGAATCCTTTAATCTCCTTCTTAGAGGTGAGGGGACTGTCCCTCTGCCCCCAGGCTACCACTCTTCCCAACCCAGCATCTCCCTGCTGCCAGGGCAATCTTGCTAAATGCAAAGCTCATCATGCCACTTCCCTGATGGTTAAAATCCTCAACTGTTCCCCACAGCCTGAAAGGGGGGAAATCCTAACTCTTAAGTAGGCACCTAAAACATAATCCGGCTTTGACACTTTGTCAGAGGCGAGCCCCACCCCTCACTCTCCTCTGCCCCACCTCACAGAACGACACGCAGTTAGTTTCTCAACAACACTGCATTTCTGTCCTTTCTGTTTTATGTTCTTACTCCTCTGAATGCGGCCTTCTAGCTGGCTACTTCGTCCTTCAAGGCTCGCTTCAGGAATCCCCTGCCTTTCTTGCCCCTACCTGCTCCCACATATGGGTTTGGTACCTCTGATCCTTGTGCCTCAGCGCCTAACCCACAGTTCATGTCTGTTGCAGTTCTTGTTTCTGCGTCACTATGACTAGACTGTGAGCAATCTGAGGAGAGGAATTGTGTGTTTCATATCCCCAGTTCCTAACCCAATGCCTGAATACATAGCAGATGAATAAATGTTTGTCGAAATCACACAATAATGCCTTGATTTCTATCACTAGCCATTTATTTATCCATACAAGGGTACCTAAGAATAAAGAGTATTTATGAGTTTATAAAAATATTATAAAGGCATTCTTCTCTTCCAAGAGTATTTGGAAATAGCTTCAACTTTATAAATTTAGTTCAATATCTTAGAAATTTGAAGCTTAGAAAAGATGTACAAGAAAAGAGAGCGGGAGAAAGGCCTATTCTCAACTTTGTTATAGTAGTTCAGGTTCTAGACAAAATAACTCACTGATTTAAAAACTCACAACTTTGGGTGCTCTTGCTCTTTACAATGTTACACAGATGTGACTCAACTTCCCTCCCTCCCACCCATGTGCCAGCAAGGCCATAAAAGCTGATCCAAGAGGCCCTGACCAGGAGCCAGGTTTTGCTCCTACTTTCCCAGGCTGCCTCTCACACCCAAGTGAAAGGCAACATTAAAGGGACGGCACTTCCTGCAATAATAAAAACCTGCTACTATAAAAGCTCTTCACAGCACGCCCCCACACAATAACCCTAAGTATAACAATTTACACCTAATAGACATTAAATACCTTCTCAGAAGCATCTCTGCCACAATTCCACTTTAATATCCTTTGCCCCAACATTCCCTTTTATATAAATGCAGTCAAAATACAGTGAAATCTATTATTTCCTGCTTTCTTTTCTCTAGTTCAAGCAGGGTTCACTTATATAGAACCCAGTCTAAAAAATAAGGTGAGAACAGAATTTGAAATCAACTGCTTTCAACTATATGTACTTATAAAACCAACTAACCCTCATATTTATTTGTTATCCAAAAATCAAACCTTTAGAATAACACCACAAATAATATATAGTAAAATACAG